TTTCAATCTCTATCAGTTAGAGTGGCCGCTTTGTGATTCCTAGAAATGGGGGTTTTGTTACTTAGATTCTTATACTTATTTGTTTGTAAAAATATATTGTCTGAGTCTTTTGTGTCACCTGACAAATTATTGCAGTACCTTCGCAAAGTATCAGTTTTGGATCATCGCGTATTTCTAATTTATGCAGTAAGTAATATTTTCCTCCTGCATTCTGCTTCTTGCTATGTATTTTGAGCATAGATTTTCAGTTTACTTGTATAAACACAGGTCCCACTAGGTCTTGCCATTACATGGGGTATGGCCTTCCTTCTGACTGAAGCTGGAGTATATAACTATAAAGGTTGTGATGTGAATGTGCCTGCCTCAAATATAATATCTGACCACTGCAGAAAGCATGTTTCAAGGATGAAGTACTGTCGAGTGGATACTTCTGATGCCTTGAGATCGTCTCCGTGGTTTAGATTTCCTTACCCTCTACAATGGGGTATGCCTGTCTTTCACTGGAAGATGGCCCTTGTGATGTGTGTGGTGTCTATAATTTCATCAGCAGATTCAGTGAGTCCTCAATTTTCTCCTTTTAGTTTATATTGCTATTGGTATCTTTATGTTAATTTATGCTTTTGTTTGACTATCCATCTCTCTTCACTACTTAGCCTCATTAACTAGTGGAGCCACATTAAGTTTATCGGTGTTATTAAACAACATTGTACTTTAGTAAAATAATTTATGCAAAACTGGATCGACAGAATAGACAGCAGTAGGGAGAGAACGAAGAGAGAGAAGAATAAAATTGGGAAAGGAAATTGAATATCAATGAATATATCAAAAATTCAATTCAACAGTGCAAATTTTGGAAAACCCTGAACTTTCTGCCGATTGTCTACCTCTTTAGCTGACCTCGGAGGATTCCAGTCTCTCAGCAAAACAAGTGAACTGCAGAACTGGACACATCTGTTTAGCTTAACTCGTGTGGACTCCACTTGCCTAGTAGACAAAGATTCACTTCTGTGAGAAAGGATTATTCATGAGGCCCTTTCTAATGACTTGAGCTTTAAGATCAAGTTGTTGAACATGGTGCACACAAATATTAGACTTTAATGGAGAAAAAAAAAAGAACTCTGCCAACAAGCAAGGAAGCATTGTTGAAGGCGAGATTTGAATGATATACACGTGTGCCCTTCTAATAGCTTAAGTTTTTAGGTCAAGTGGTTCAAATGGGAATGTGGATCTTATACCTCTACGTGGCATTCTCTATGAGGTGTTTGATCAAATAGTTATTAGAAAATCAGTCAGATAAATTCTAAATATTTCTTATTCTTTTCCCTAAAATGTAAGTCTAGTTTGTGGGAAGTCTTCCAAGAATATCG